TCAAATTGAGTCAAGTTTAAAATTTATATAACTCGAATCAAATCAAATCGAAAAATTTTATAAAATAAATTTGACTCAACTCGACTTGAAAAAAACGAGTCGAATAGAGTTGGTCTTTAAACTTGACTCGACTCGACTCATTCGGAACTCTAATCATCTATTATTACACATGATTTCACTAGATATCATCTGATACTAAACCCTCTAGGATCACTATCATATGATTCTCCTAATAATATATAACATAGAGTATTATCTGATTCTAAGCTTTCTGAAAGCACTATCAGATGATTTTTCTAATAATATATGTGTATAGAATCACCTGTTACTGAGCCTTTTGAGACCACTATCATATGATATTTCTAATAATATATATATCTATTTGTGATACCCATTTTAGAAAAAAAAATGATAATTAGTAAATTTTAATTAATTTGACCAATACTATTCATAAATTTGGTCAGATTTTTGGACATAATCAAAGTTAGCATACAAGTAATCTAAAACTGACTAGTTCTTTACTAGTTCTATGATAGTTCTAAGATAACTACTAGGGCATTACTATAACGCTAAGCTGAAATTCAAAATCACATGCTTAAAGATCAGCCAGAATTATTGACGCTATAGTGCTGATTAAATTTAAACGTAGATTTACTATATTACCTGACGTGATTTTTTTAATACTACTTTGATATCTTAAAGGTTCTCAAACAGGATCAAAAGAAAAGCATTCTTAATATTTTAATAGACAACTAAAAAGGGTCAAAAGTAGGCAAATATAAAGGTAGCTTTTTATTAATAAAAATTCTACAGAACAATAAAAATAAACAAATATCTAGAAGATAATAAAAAGAAGACAGACTATTAAAAACAATCAGATAATTACAAGATAATAAAAAAGACATAAAGTAATAAAAACAAATAGATATCAATTTGGATATAAAAAAAATCACAGAATACTAAAAACCTTAAAGTAAGTAATATTACTCATAAGTAGGTTCTATTATAATCATAAGTAGGTTACATTATAGTCTAAGCTGTCTTATATAGGGAATACTCTTATAAGAATATTTCCTACAACAGCTATTCTATTAATAAATTTAGCAAATAATTATTAATAAGAGTATTTAATTTATTACTAAACTTTTTCTAATGATTATTGTTTATTTTATTAAATTCAAAAGTAATCTTGATCAGTATTTTCTTTTTATTAAATTTAATACTCAAAAAATTGGAAAAATAATAATAATAACATGATAGTCAAAACCTTTTCTCTTAGAATTATTATATAATAATCCAATAAATTGAGAATAAAATCTGTAAAAGTTTAAATATAATCAATTCTAAACGAGTGGTAATTAATATAAAAGTTAAAAATTAGAATAAGTATTATTATATTTAATTATAAAGGTATCAAAAATAAAAAATCTCTGAAGAATACCAAAAATTTCAGATATATAAAAGATTATATTTACATTTATATCAGTATTAAAGTCTTTTAAGATAATCAGATGAAAGTTTTTATTATAATATTCTAAATCTATTCAATCAAAATCTGTCAAATTGCTTTTTTAATATTAATATCAGCAGATAGTAAATAATAATTAATCACAAGTTTTATTTATTTATGACTTATAAATTAGCAAAGATTATATAATTTAACTTTAAATTATAATGAAAAATATGATAAACTAAGCTTTAAAAAATATCCTATACTATAAGCTGCTTTTCTCATAAGTAGAATAAAATTAAAAAATAAAATAAAGAATAGGTAAAAATAATTAAATATTTTTGACTTCTTAAGTTTAAAATTGATTTCTTATAATTCTATTATATCAAGGTTATATGATGAATAAAGTGATAAGTTAATAAAAGAACGAATATTATAAGTAGTAAAAAAAATTTTAAAATAAAGGATAACTTGAAAATAAGAATAATTAGAAATGTGATTTGTGATTAAAAATAGGAAGATCTATAGAGACAGTATTCATTATTAAAATAATTAAAATTATAAAAAGCTACTGATAGTCTCGAAAGCTTTTATGTCAAATGTAGTATTTAATATGTAAGTTGTATAGGCCTGTTTATTTGAGAGTAAATTATTGCAGATGAGATTTGATTAGAATATGTTGTAAGAATTGACAAAAGAAATTAACAGTTTTAGTAAAACTTTTAAGTTAGAGAAGTTATCTACCTGAAATCACTTTTAGGATAGCAATTAACTTTCTTTGCTTATTAATGATTATGCAAAGATATCCTTAGACTAGTTGTATAAGGTTCTATTACATAGTTTTCACTGTTAGCTTCATTTTGAGAATGATTTTAATATCTAGAATTTGTTTAATGGTTTTTATTCTTTTCATTGCATATTCTAGAGTGATGATAAGATTGTCAAGTTTGTCTGCAAGTTGAAAATTTGATTTGATAAATTCCTTAAAATCATTATCATTACCATAGATCCTCCTATAGCTGTATATGCTGAGACATTACGTTGTAGAGTAAGGAGACCATTTTTGGGAGTATTTAAAAACATTATGTTGGGGTAAGTTAGGTTAAAGGGTTAGGGTTAGTATTAAATGATTTATTAAAAAGTATCAATTACAAATTAGCATTAGAATTAAGGTTAATTATTTGTAAAAAATATCAACAAGTTGTATTATTTATTTTAAATTTATTAAAATTTTACATTTTTTCCCATCACGATAGCATCGCCTGGATAGAATTGCTAGTAATTATATATTATAATTAGTTAGGTTCAGTGATTCTAGTTCATTGACCAGTCCTGTGTAAGATATAAATTCCACTCCGCTCTCAAAAATAAATTTTTTTCGAGATAACTTATTAATTTTTTCAAAGTCATATAACTAAAAGTTTTGTAATTAATAAGATTATTAATATATATTCTGTAAATCTTATTATCAGACATAATTTTTTGGCATTAAAATCCTTTGCATATTTTTCTGCATAAAAAAGTTCTTAGAAGACATCAATGGAAATTGTGTGATATTTAAAAGGGTAATATATAAATATAAAATTTTTTGACGGTTCATTTCTGATCCAAAAAACTATGAAGATTTCAAGAAAGCATGTTTGAAGGATTACGTCAAGAAAAGTAGATTAGAATATATGTATAATGTCGATGAAGAGACTGAAATACAATTGTAAAAAGACGGCATTTATACCAGTATCCAAGAAATGTTGTTACTTATGCGAATTGTATATCCAATTTGTAAATAATAATATAGAAGATGCCAACTTCAAGAATGAATCCTTGTCATATATGATAAACCATCTCGATCAGATCATGATGGATGAAAAATATAGGTTAATGGCGAAATCTGACAGTGAAGAAGGTTCTGAAGAATTTGCAATAGCTAAAGCTTTTTATGAAGTAGTAAAAAATTTATAAAGAAATTTCATATCTGTTTTTTTTTTTGAGAGGGTTCAATTGTATGATGGAGTATTTTATCAATATAGCATAAAAATCCGCGTACATAATTAAAAAATTCAGTGAATTCGTAAATGAAATATCAATATAAAAAGCCGATGCAAGTTATAAGATTGTTGGAGTAGCGGACGTATAAAGGGAAAAGGGAGGAAGCATTTCGAACCCTAACTCACAAGATGAAAATTCCTTTCCTTATAGGTAAATCATATAGGTCTTTATAATCACACCTTTTTTGGTCCCGAGGGGCTAATGCTATTATTTTCGCGCCTATTTGCACTATGATTTCTGAAATAAATAACCAATTCCATGTATTCTATCCTATACCTATACTAAAATTTTCGCAACGTTATTAAAACATGATTTTTTATTTCAAAAAATTTTTCTTTTAGACTTTATAAAAATAAATTACATAATACAACATACAGTAGATATTAATAAATTACGTGAATTGCTTACTGATATTAAAGGTACCTTTAAGAGTAAATTTGTCATATACAAATTTGATTATCCGACAACAATTTACTCATTATATCCCTAACGATTAAAATTTCCACACATTATAAAAACTCTTTTTTTTTTTGGATAATAGATTGTCTAAGTTAATCAATTTCATCATCTGCATCATCGCTTCCTCCAATGAAAGGAATAGGTAAAAATCTTTTTTTAACAAAAAAAAAAAAAAAATAGTATTTTAATAGTTTTGTCGTATAACTTCAAAAAACGCCTAAAGAATATTCAATATACAAACCCTCCATTCCCAGAATGTCGAGAGAAATAATCAAAATCTATAGAGATGGCCGCTGCTAATATCACAGCGCGTTGATCAAACGTCAACTCTCTAGAATCCATTCTTATTACATATTTTCCCGTATCGGTAAAAAGCTTAAATAATACAAAACATTAACATTAATTTTAGGAGATTTATATAAAAGAAAATGAAGAAAATGATATTGATATATACCTCTCTAGCAATACCTGAAAAATTACGATTAACGCTTCCAAGAATACTACCAAGTTCATCTTCGATATTGAAATCCCACGATAAGAAACCAGTATCAATCCTTGCGAACTGTTTTCGGCTTATTTTATGTTTCGACAATTCAAAATTAATAGATAATATTATAATCAATAAAACATCATTTAAAATATATTATTATACTTGATAAACAAATTATATCGTCTTCGCCATAAATGCCATTGTTGATGAACTTCTCCAATCAAGTGTTCTTCACTAGTACTAATAAATATGCGAGAGTTGATCCATGCAAATGGTCTTCTAATCTTCAAAATCAATTGACCCTCCAAATCTATAATCATGGCGTTAAATTTTCGGTGCGTTCTGAAAAGTTGTCTTAATATAGTTGAAGCAAAAGACTCCTCTTCTGCAACATATCCTACACAATTCCCATTGGGATCAAGAAGAGCATATTTATTTGCTTGTTCAAAACCCTTCATTTTTTAAATATCAAAAATTTTAAGTTAAAAAAGTAAAAGAATTCTGCAAATTTATGTTATGTTTCTACAACAAAATCATTACCAAAAAGATATTAAGCATTTCTAACTGTCTGGCTACTACTAGGGTTGGATTTTGTAAAATTTGTGCTGCTGGATAGTAACGATTTAAAACTTCAAAAGGCTGTTGAATAACCTGTTGTACTTTAGTATCAGGAACATCTTTCCCTTCGGATCTTTTAGTATTCCTTTCGATCAAATTGTTTATATTAATACGATTAATGCGGCTAATTCCCGATCCTTAAAAGGGTTTTGGTGGTTTTAGAAATAATTGTGAATAAAAAAATGGCACACTTTTGTCAAAAGGGACTACTTACCTCTCAAATTTCTTTGACATAATGACGTATAACATTGAAACGAATTTAAGTTTTTATTTGGGTAAAATGTAAAATATAATTTATTCACAAAACTTTTTAAACGATGTTGCCACATAATTTTGAAAAATGATGGTCAAAAAAAAATTTTAATATTTTCTTAACAAAGATCGACATCATGTGATTTGAGTAAAAAATTTCCTATTTCATCAAACTTTAAATCAATTCTTTGCCTTGTTTTTCTTTCGTGTACCTCAACCCTTCCGCTATCTAAAAATCTCCTTCCTAATATCATCATCCATGGATAACCAACTAACTCAGAATCCTTTATCCGGTAACCTAAAGACAAATTGGTTCTATCATCGATAAGTATTTCACCATTCAATTCATGGCTGGTTGAAGTTAACAAGTCGAATAAATTTCGCGTTAATTCCTGTATTGTTGGTTCATCTGAGCTTGGAATAATACAAACTTTATAAGGTGCAACGGACGATGGCCAAATTATACCATACTCATCATGTGAAGTTTCGATGATTGCAGCAAGGATCCTTGAAATCCCAAGACCGTAACATCCCATTTGAATTGGCCTAAGTTCTCCAACATTTTCAGGTGCAAATGTAGCTCTTAAAGGTTCTGAATATTTCGTACCTAAAAGAAAAGTGTGACCAACCTCAATGGCACGATGACCAAAAAGAGGATAAAGACTTTCAGAATGATTTAGAACCGAGGTTATGGAACATACAGGACATTCATCACCTGGAGAAGTGTTATGAAAGTCACCATGATGTATACTGGTAGGATGCTTTACAATAGATTGTATTTCAGAAATTATTTTGTTGAATAATTGATTGGACTTTAAATCGGATAAATTTTTCTGAAAAGTATTGTCAACGTAAATATCAACAGCCTCGAAATTGTTATTATTTAGAATATCTTTTATATCTACATTATCATTTCTAATTGGAATAATTTCAAAGTTCTCAGAGTTTGCAGCTTTTAGCTTGGATACATTTAAAACGCGTCCGAATTCTAATATGCTTATTATAAGTCTATTATTGTTGCCAATCCCAAAGTTAACCGTTTGCTTTTGATTTACATGAGAAGATATTTGTTTTGTTGGAGAAACAAGTCCGTGTGCACGTTCTTCATTTGCCGAATAACCACAATGAGGACAAGTTAATATCAAATCTTCTCCAACTATAGAAAGAATTGTAAGAAAACCTTTAATTTCAAAATTTTCTATATAAATTCATCTTTATATATTTATTATCACCTGGAGATAAAAAATGAAACTCGTGTGATTTAGTCCCTCCAATATTTCCTGAATCTGCATCAGCCTACATTATTAACAAACTAAACATTCATGTTGTTCATTAAATAATTCAAAAGTAATGTTGATTAAAAGGACTTACGATAACAAATGGAACTCCGATCTTTTCGAAAATTTTTTTATAAGCAATTGAGACTTCCTCATATGTTCTTAGAGCATCCTCTTCACTAACGTCAAATGTATATAAATCTTTCATGATGAATTCCCGTCCACGGAGTAGACCATAGCGAGGTCGCATTTCATCACGATATTTTCTACCTAGAATACATAATAATATGGATGTTGTGTCACATGACTATGTAGTTGATCATTTAAAAATGTTACCTAATTGATACAATCGTAATGGAAGTTGCCTGTATGATGCAACCTCGTGTCCGACTAATAGAGTAATTTCTTCTTCATGTGTAGGTGCAAGACAGAACTCAGATTCCTTCCTATCTTTGAGGCGAAATAGCTATATTCAAAAAAAAAAAAAAAGTTGATTTGTTTTTTTTTATGCAAAAAAGTGATTAAATTTTTAATAAATCTATAAGTAATTATATTTCTACCAATAGCAAACCTCGCTACCAGCTGATTCCCAACGTCCTGTCCGTTTCCAGGCATTAGCACTCAATAAGTTTGGAAGAGATAATTTTTGTGCACCTATTCGATCATGATAAATGTTAAAAAAAAAAAACTATATATTTCATATAACCATTACGTTTTCAACTCACCAATATTTGTCATTTCAAGATCTATTATTTTTTCTATCTTGTTAAGTGAACGTAATGCTAATGGTAAAAGTGAATACACTCCAGAAGAGGACTGTTAAAGCAGAGTAATAAATATACAATTATCATAAATTGTAAATTAAAAATTAATAGGTATAGCTTTAAAATCATACCTGTCTTATCAGCCCAGCGCGTATCATGAGTCGGTGACTCTTACCATCTTGTTCATTTTCTTTTGTACTTGAAGTATTTTTCGTGGTTGGAAGAAAAATTTTCGACACACAACTTCTGTTGCTATAACCTTGAGTCTATACAAAATGAATTTAGCTGAATAAATAAACAAATACTCTAAAATCTGTACTGACCGAATGACCACGGATAAAATATTTCTTCTGTACGAATAACTTTCTTGACCGTTTCAATAAACAAATTGAGCATTTACTGAGCATAATTATTATATTTTTTTTTTTTTTAGCATAAAAGAAAAGATTGCTGATTTACCCTGCAGTGATCATCACATAATTGTGAGATATGTGAAATGCCGAATATCATTGGCCCTGGGTAGTGTCTAACGTTAAATGAATCTCTCTTCCAAAGGGGAGAAGGAGTATGTTGATCGATTAATCTAACTTTACTAGGCCGAGCTGTTGCATAATACAGTAAGAAATTATACTCCAATTTTGAAATAGTACCTGTTTTGCTCACAAATTTTTTTCACAATGAGTGTTCATATTCTTACTCTAATGAATTGAAGGATAAACCGGGGTGATAAATTTTATAATACAGATTGTACAAAATATTTGCCTCTTGATTATAAAATGTTTATCGTAAATCAACTTCAAGATGAAGGAGAAGAAAGGCAGTAAATTTTACCAAAGGAAGTAAGTTTCAAGTCAGTTGTGAGAATGGCGTCATGAAATTTTTAGTTTGAACATATAAAAGACTTTGGAATCTTTAGGCAACTATCTAAGCGAATTACTCGACTGCATGCATTGAATGACTTAATTTATATTCAGCACATTCTCTTATAAAAATGATACTTTGCTCCAAGTTATGTCTGAACGTGAATATAATTCATACCTTATTGAGAAATACCTTTCTCAAAGAACAGAAATTAGCATCAATATCTTATAACAAACTCATAAAAATTCTAAACATTGCTGGAAAGAGTAGACCAAAGCTTAACGGAAAAGCTTTTCATAGATCATTAGGCACGAAGCGCAGGAAGACGGGGTTCTAAATATATGCGGAAAGAGGAAAGGTGATCTCAGAAAGTTAGAATATTGTACAAAGTTATTTTAACAGCTTTGTATATTTTTTACTACTGCAAAGGTTAGAATTATAGATATCGAAATATATTGAATACAATCTAATGGATTTCAACTTACTATAACGGCATCAAAGTATCTTTTCGAAGGCACAATTATAACAATGGACTTATAATGTATCGAGGTACCAAATCTTTCTCGAAACTTACAGTAGCTATAAAGTTATTTTATTCTGTTCAGCAAGGACACAAATGTTTTTTTGAGATTTAAAGTGGTCACAGACGCCTAAGCAATTCACACCAAAAAAATTTTCTATAAATTAATGGTAATAAAATTTTCTTATTATATAAATAAAAATTTAAGTTGAAAAGAGGATCATTTATTTTTCTTTATGAACCGGTGAAGATGTATTAGTGAGTTATCATTTGCCTTGCAAATCTTAGTTAATGTAAAGCCGTATAACTTACATGTTGATTGTATATAAGGTTCTGATGATCAAGATGATAAAACGCGTCTGTCCTCCGCGATTAATTTGCTAATTACATCTCTTAACGATGTAAATTATCGAACTTTGAATACTTTCATATCTCATTTGTATTAAGTTAGCCTTGTCTGTGGAACCTGATAATAGGTTTATCACAATTATTTCTCAACTATATGAGTTTATTTTATTAAAGTCAGCAAATAAATCCACAATTTATCTTGATGACGAGCTTTTAACCAAGTTATTAAAGAACCTAATTATTTACTATGATGAGATATTTAAGAATTTAAATCTTACATCAAGTTCAATAGGTGAAGTGATGAGTAGTTCTATAAGTTATGATTCTTTGTAATCTAATAATCTACCAAATTAACTTGCTTAATTATTTCTAATAATTGTTCCAATTATACTAGCAATATTACAATAAATACTTTATCATAATGAATAAATATTTTAAGAGACTCAAGACACTATATTTATATCTAATTATTGAATTCTTAATTAATAATTAATAATATAAACTTATTTTTTTCAGTAAATAAAAATGAATATCTAAATAGTATTATTCAAAATAATTCAAAACTAACCACTGGAATATTAACTAACCTTTTTATTAAGAATACATATATAATGTTTTCAAAATAATTAAATTAGATAACTATTAAAGATTTTAACAATAATAAACTACTTAAAAAAAAGAATTGTAAATCAGAAAATTATAATGATCTAGATAGCAATTATAAAAACAGAATATCAGTTTAAAGATCAATAGAATCTTCTCTTATCTTATCAATTTCTAAAACAAATTTTAAAAAGTATATTTTTCTCATCTAAATTTAAGAGATTTTGTATTTCTAAACAAATTATTAATTGATAATACTATGTTTAGTAGCTGTATCTATTATTCTTTATAATCATCAACTAAAGAAATTTTATTTAAACAAAACTTATAAATTTTAAATTTTAAATTATTTATATATTTTTATCATTGAAGTTTTTTATAATAATAATTATTTTTGTATTTTATAAAATAATAAATATAAAAAAAAAATATTAGTTATATTTATTATTTTTTTTTTTAAAAATAAAATTTTTAAGAAAAATTTTAAAAAAAATAAAAATATCAAAATTATATATTAAATAATATAATAATTATATATTTAAATTAACTGTTAATTTTCTATCTCCTAAAAGATTAAGTTATATAATGAAAAATTAAAACCTAAAATTGATAAAATAAGTTTAGAACAATAAAAAATAATTTATTAAGATCTATTAAATAAAAGTTATTATTAATAATATAAGAAATATAAAGCAAATTAATTATTATAAAATATTTTTATAAAAATTACTATCATTAAAAGTAATATTCTGCAATAATATTTCTTAAAAATGTTTATTTTATTACAATATTTTGATTAATTTTATATATTAAAATTAATACAATCAACTCTTGATATAGCAAACTCTTGATATAATGAAAATTTTGAATAAATATAATAAAATTCTCTTGTTATAGTGAATTAGCCAATCAAATCTCTTAAAATTTTCACTATAGCCTTATAGCAAAGTTGAGGTCTAGGACATAGAGTTCGTTATAATAAAAGTTGACTGTATGTTTTAAATTTAGAAAAATCATATGAAATTATCTAATTTTAAATACCTATAATTTTTTAAATAAAACTTATTTTGAAAATTGATCAATAATTTAATAGAGCTTATCTCAAAGAATAAAAGTTACCAGTTTTAAGTATTATATTTATATTATTAAGTATAAATTTTCTGCATGTATTTTTATATGATTATTATAATATTATACTTAGTATAATTAATAAATTCTCTGTTTAATTTTGACTATTTATAATTTAAATTCTATCTTTTAAAAAACAAATTTAATTATTTTTTACAAAATATATTTTTATTTAATGTTTATTATTATTATTTAAGTTTCTTTTATCATTAGTATTTTTTTTGTATATATTTTGTTACTAGTAAAATAATAGTATTTCATTTTTTAGGTAGTATATAACTTTATAATATTTTAAAATATTATAAATTTTATTTTTATTATTACTATTATTACCTTTATTATACAAAAAAATTACATTTATTTATAATTTTAAATATAAAATAAAAGAAAGATCTTAAAAGAAAATAATAATATTCTTAATTAAAGATAATACTATAATTAAAAAAAATAGCATAATTGAATTAATTGAATTACAACTTATAACATAATTAAATTTTCTTATAGTGTAATTTAATTAAAATTATAGTGATTATTTTTATTATTAATACAAATTCATTTCAAACATTAGAAGTAATATCAATTTTAAGAAATTTAACTTATTAAAGAGTTTAGGAGTGGCAAAATAATTTTTAAACTGAGTCAGTTTAAATATTTGATATAAATTTTATATTTGATAGTTTTATGATACAGTAAGACTTTTTTTATAAGAATGAGAATTGTCTTTAAATATAAAATAATATATACAGAATTTAATATCTGAAAACATTTACAGAAGTATATAATTATTTAGAATAATAAGATCACCATTTTTTATGATAGTTAGATCTTCAACTAAGTTAAAATATATAAATATATATTAAAGATTATAATAGTTAAAATGCGTTTTTAAAATAATTTATATTATTATATTGATTGCTTTAACAATAAATTCTAATTCTTATTTTAATATATCTTTTAAAAGATTAATAAGTTTAAGTACAAATTAAAAATAGAACTTGATATTTTCATTAGAAAGTAAATAAAAGTGAATTTGAATAAAATTTTTGAGAACAAAGTGATTTTTAACTATGACAAAATTAATATATTTATACTTTCTGCATATGATATTATAGCTTGCTGCCAAAGATTTTTGATGATTATCAAACAATAGAAAATCATTTCAAATTTGATAAATATTGATCAAATTACGTATTTGAATATAGAAATTAAAATCCTTAAAAAGAAAAAGTTATTTAAGAGGTTTTAATTTCAAATTAGTTATATCAGGAAATTTAGCAATAAATACTTTGTATCTGCATAAATGAAGAATTCAAATTAAATAATTTTTATTTTGTTATTTAAGTTTTGCTTGACTAAAATATTAATAAATGAAGAAAAATTAACATTATTGAATATATTACAAGTATAATTTATTTTTTACTTATTAAATTTTCTCATAAGAAAGGTTTCAGTAGTATAGCAAATGTAAAAAGTGAAAGTGTTATAAATATGTTTAAAGGATAAAATATTAGAGAAAGCCTTTAAATCTAAGTATATTTCAGTAGCATTATAGGTTTAGTCTTTATTTATAATTGTATTTATAATTAAAATTTTAGAATAAGATATAATATTTTTTATAGATTCAAAAGGATAATTTACTTTCATATTAGCAAGTGAAAAGTTAGAAACTTTTTTAATTTAAAAAAAACCATCATTATTAAAAAAAATTCAGACAGTTTATAATAATA